TGATTGTTACATTATCCAGCACTACCTGATCATTCCTTCTAGCCTTTGAAATCAAAGAGAACCCCATTTCTCTGCTGAATGCTTTCCCTATCTTTTCTGGGTTGGTGGCAATTGTTTGTTTGCTGTTGATCTTTTTGGTTGATTGCTAAGAATGTGTGCAGCTGCCCTGAGTAGACGCTGTCTAGAGGGGCGGGGTAGAAATCGAATAAATAAACAAACAAACAAACAAACAAACAAACAAACAAATAAATAAATAAATAAATAAATGCACTGAAGCTGTATACACAAGTCTGAAATTTCAAAGAATTGTAGGTAAAGAAATGTTTTTTATTCTTTCTCCTATAAATGTCTCAGATTCCATTACTGAGACTTTAAGTGCCAGTTAATGAGAAACTAGCAGACTCTGCAGAACTTGTAGCTATTCTCCTCTGTGGATCTCTGTACTTCTGTGTAACAAAATGGAATTTTACCAGAAATTCAAAGCTCTGGAACATTATTTAGGAAAATTTATTTCCTGTCATAATTTTGCAATTATTATATAACGATTAACTTACATACTACTAATACTGCACCAGCTTTGGTTTTTACATCTAGCACGCCTACATATTTTTCTCCTCTGAAAAACAGAAGCTAGTTTCCCTCCTTCAAATAAAACTCTTGCAACATTATTTAAACAAAGCCATCTAAGTGCCTCCTGCAAGTACAGCCAGCCTACATGGCCTTGGGCAAGCTGCAGTGTCAGGGTAGCTCCAGAAGAAGCAAATCATAAAGTATTCTTTACCTGAAAAGGGTTGCCATAAGTCAGAATTGACTTGACAGCATGTGATTATTATTATCCTTATTGCTCCTGATACTGGATTAACTGAACAATGGGGTAGCAAGGCATATACGGTCCTGGAAACAGCAGCCACATATAATTCAAGCCTCAGAAGGGTCTTAATTCAATTCCTAACTCTAAAGCATAATGAGTTTGGGGCATCTTCAGAGTAGGAATCTTCAGCAAGAATGTAGGCAATGACGGAAAATGGATTTTCCAGCCTCTTCAACAATGGATAGGGTGTGTTGGATACAGCAATGTACAGAGCAAGATGTATGGAAAGTGATCATGTATTCACCTACCCAATATGTAACTGACTGCATATGTCAAAACCACACTTCTCCTCTTGGAAAAATTGGAAGAGAAGCACTAAGACAATCCACACTTGTGGATTTTTCACTTCTGCACTTTTCAAATGGTTGGATTCTTTAAGGTCTTAGAAGACAACAAAGCAGCATGGGCAATATATAGCAGGTCAGTGATTTGATTGCAGAATTGTCTGATTGTCTTCTGAAAAGTGAGAGAATAACATAGGCATCCTTCACTCTCAAGAGACTATGATAACATGCTCTGAATCGAGGAGTGTCCTCTCCAGAGCATGAAGCCTGGGTAAAGTAATATGGAGATAGGCTGTTACCCAAGCAGCAGATCCCCCCTCTCCACATTGCTGAAATGGTCCAATGGAAAGGCAAGAGCCAATACAACTGGTTCCAGCAACATCGCAGGAGTTGGCAGAACGACACAAACTGCCTTCGGGACTCCAGCTCTGGATTTTGCCTCTAGCTTAACTCCTGAAGTCTTTTCCATCAGTGGATATAGCCACAAGGCAGTGGAGGTTTGAAATTGGAGTTTTCCTTCTCCTAGATGGGCTGCGTTCCATGGCTGACGAGCCCCACCTACCCGACCTGCTCTTTAATAGTGCGGAAGTATGATCCGACCCTTAAAACCTTACTGCCTCCCACGTGTATGCAAATCTAATCGGCTTTCCTATTTACCATATTAGGGCCAGAGATAGAATCAGAGAATTTGAGAATTTCAAATCCCAGAACACGCTCATTTAAAGCAGAAATCCCCACTCCCTAGGGCCCCCCAGGCCATGCAGTGGGGGAGACCAAAAGAAAGCCCAGAAAAAACCCCTCCTTCCTGTAAGAGCATCAGTTAGCCTGTCCAATATATCTACACAGCAGGTAAGAAAATTAGCCCTATTCAAACATTATGGGTGAGAGAATAAGGCATGGTAATTCCACACTAAACATTTCATGTGGAAGACCTTATTATTACTGTCACCACTGACAGCATTATACTCTTGCCAGTTCTGTCCACTGCTTTGTCACTATGAAATTAGATTTGTAAAGACATGACAAATAATCATGACCCAATCTTTTATCCCTCTGTTGAGATTCAGAAATGACAGAAGTCTCGATGGAATATGACGGGGGTGTGGGGTGGGGAGGACAAGGTACAGATAGTATCTGACCTATGGTTTGCAGTCACAGTGGATCAGTTTTCACTGGGTCCCAATAGTGGATTCTTCTTCCCATCCTGCTTTTTGTACATGTCCATGTGTATGTTTTAGAATGAAATCCTTCTGCATACAGTGGTGCCTCACAAGACGAGCGCCCCATTTAATGACGAAACGGCATTACGACAAACTTTTTGCGATCGCAAAAGCGATCGCTTTACGATGGTTTCGATGGGGGGATTTCACTTTGCGATGATCAGTTCCCTGCTTCGGGAACCAATTCTCGCAAAATGACGATTTTCAGCCAGCAGATGGGCGGTTTCAAAATGGCCCCCGGGTAAAAAAAAATGGCTCCCTGCTCTTTTCTGGGACAGATTCCTTGCTGCACAGGCAGCGAAAATGGCCGTGCTATGGAGGATCTTCGATGGACGGTGAGTTTCAAGCCCATAGGAACGCATTAATCGGGTTTTAATGAGTTTCTTTGGGCTTTTTAATTTCCCATTACAACATTTTCATTCTACAGTGATTTCGCTGGAACTAATTAACGTCGTAATGCGAGGCATCACTGTATATATATTTTTAATCTATGTTAGGGTGCAAATAATTGCCTTTCTCTTTATATAGTCTGGTGGGCTTTGCAAGAGGGGTAGGTGTGGAATTCTGAGAAAACTACATGGCTGCAATTCTTGTGTGTGCATTTTACATTCATATTTCTGTCTCACGGCAAGGAAATATAAACATAAAAATGGCATGCCTTCCAATTTGTATGCATATGTAAATTCAATCAATTTGTTAATTAGAAAACAAAGGATTAATCAACTAAGATGTTCTAGATATTCTAGTATAGTCCAGGTCTAAAATCAGAGTGCTAGTTAATTACTATCCAGTTTAGGATTCTTCCTTCTTGTCTCTTTTCATTTTATCATCTATATTCATTACTTCTGTTTCATCTCTATGAGGAAAATGAAATAGAAATTGCAACATGTCAGAACTCCCTTTCTCCTTTAATATGTTTGCCTATATAAAAGCAAAGCTACTCTTAGGTGTCTGGATTAAACGTACTCCATTCCTTGATAAGAAACATTTGGATAAGCACCCAGATGATTTAGAACGCAGATTCTCAAAGAAGGAAACAGTGCATTTATAGTTGGACGTAAGTTATGAAGCTTCTGAGATATGCTTTAACATAAAACAGAATTTCATTCCAAGAGGCTAAATATTTACTTATAACATATAAATATTTCTTCCACCTGTCTATGATATTATTATGCATATAAGTAAGAGTTACAATTATTTATACATCCAGGAGAATGGGCAGTTTCAACAGAGCATTCTCCTCATAGTAGCCCTGTAGAGACATCAAAGCAAATTAAAGTACAAACTTCCAGATACCAGAAAGTTCTTTGTTCCCCATCCTCCATGCCAATAAGCATGCTTATTACAGTAGTTTTATGTTTTAAGTACCAATGAATCTGGTTGAGATGAAGCCTGCTCAATTCTTCTTGCAAACACAATGAATCTTTCTTTCATAGCAGTTGGCAGTAGGTTGCTTATTAATTACACTTAAATGCCAAATTTTGTGTCACCAAGCATATAAATAAAATAAAGTGTTCCATAATGTTATTCATCCTCTCTAGTTTTTTGTTAATTTATAAAGTTTAAGTACCAATACCAAGTAAAATACTTCCAGTCTTTCAGCCTATATACAGTAGAGTGTAAAAAAGACTTCAAAGTATATTCCTTGATAAGGCAGCACTTGAAGTAATTCCCCCAATTTTACATGCCACATCTCAATCACCTGCTCATCTAGGTAGTAACAGTGCAATCCCAGGCAGTATGTGATTTTTAAGAGAAAAAGTGTAAATTTTATAGGTATATTGAGGAGTTTATTATATATTTAGACATACAGAGTAAGAATAAGGTATAGAAGTTAATATATTTCTTTCTGAATGTTATTTCAGTTGTGTCTTTACAGTTTACTTGTCTCCTTTTATTCATCCATTCTACTACATTACCAATTAGTGATTTAACAATGGTAGAAGCAGGCAACTATTTTATATTCCTGCTAATTTCTGTTCCTAATTTACAATGTCTGCTAATTTCCATTCCTGGTTCACAAATTGTTACCATTAATTATAGTTCAGATCTTTCCAGCTGTCATTATATACATGGGAGTTAGGTATCACTGAGTTGGATTCCTCGCATCTCTTTGCTCATGTAGGATGCCAAAGATGGAAACCTTCAGGCCCAGACTTCAGATTTGGGACTTTGAGGGGAACAATGTTTTATGGGAGAGGCCAGTAAATGAAATCTGAAAAGGCCACTTCTATAAGGGTAACCTCATGCAAAGGTCCAACCTACTTCCCGTATCCTAACATTTGTAGGTTTGGGGAAGGACTCTCACGCAACAGCGAAAATGCTGTTGTGTAGCTATACTGCATAAGCCAAAGTTGCACAAGTGGTGGCAAAATGTGTCAAAGTGGATGTCATATTCAGCAAGTAGTTTCATAGGCACAGTTGTGCAGCTAGTTTCACTATCAATTGTGAAATCAATTGCACAATCATGTATATAATGCAGATTGCTCCCTGTGAATCTCACCAAATGTAACTTGACACTACACTGAGTGCAATTGGATTTCAGACAGTTATTGCTATCATCTCATTGATCAATCCAGTTAGACAGTTATACATTTTGCTCTTTTCAAAACCAAATGCCCTTGCCTTAGAATGATAATCTTGCTCCAGCCTGGAATCTGATCCTGCTACCTGTTTGTACTTGTTCATTTTCATTTGGCGATTTCTCTCTTCTACATCCATAGCACCTGTCAAATTCAAAATGAAATAATCAATTAATCTGAAACTATTTTAAAAATGAAAACAAAATAAACATTTAAGATATAGCTGGGAATGCCAGAGATTAATTTAAATAATGAAGTATGAACTTCAACAAAAATATATCCATTATGTAGTTTATGATGAACAAGATGCCCAAAAAGGCAGAAACAACACATAAATAAATATAAGGAAACAAACTCCCACTGCTTTATCTTCAACTATGTGATAAACAAGATTTTAAAATAAGGTTCTCATTAGATTTGTTGCCGCTATCAAAGTATATGAGAGAAAGATGAAGATCATTTTAGGAAGGCATTAACAGAGAGAGCAAGCAGATTTCTGAAGTGGCCAATACTGTCTGAGATAATGTTTGTGTAAGTTATGTCATGGGAGGCTGATGATGTCAATGCCCGGCCAATTTTTTTGAAAATCAAATATTTTCCCCTCCTGTCACAAAGCCCCTATGGGTTCTGAATAGTAATCCCTGTCATTGTCAGGGGCTTATGGGGGCAGAGGGACTGGAGGATGAACTCTAATTGCTGAACATTGCCACCAGTGATAAAGTCATCCTGCTGGTGCCAATATATGGTAATTGAAGAACTCTCTCTCCTGTTCTTCAGCCCCCACAGGTTCACAACAAAGAAAACGAGTACTCAGAACCCATAGAGGTTTTGTGATGAAGGGGGAAATTATGTCACTATGAAGAGACTATTTTGTATAAAAATGCCTGTTTGTAAAAAATCTGGAATGGTGAAGCTGATTGATTGTAATAGCTGTTTAACAGACTATATAACTTCAATATACCATGAGTATGTTACTAAAACACTGGTATCTAATGAAGTGTTTAAATAGACGGTTAGGTATTTTGGCCTGTAGTGGCAGCATATACCACATTTTCCATGTATAAGACTATACTTTTGTCTAAAATCTTTATACTAAAAATTGAGGGTCATGTTATACATGGAAGTAAGCTGAGGAGAGAACAAAAACAAGTGGAGGGGAAAGCAGGCATCAAAGCAATTCTGCAGTGCTTTGATCCCTTTCCCCCTGCGCTTGCTAAGCCCCACTTAGATTTATTGACTTTGGATTATAAAAGTGGGGGCATTTTATACATGGGGGTGTCTTATACATGAAAAAATACGGTACCTCTAGTGGCATCTCTACATTTGTTATTATCAGACAATCTTGCTAGTGTGACTTATGCAGTTTCACTTATGTAAATATAATCTGCCAACCTAATTTCTTTTTTTTTGAATTACTAAGTTTGATACATGATGGCTGAAATACTTGTGGTATGTGTTTACAGAAGGTATCATCAGTAGGGCTGGTTTTCAGCAATTAAAACTTCCTACTTGTATCCAATGGCTCTTCTGACCCCTTTTATTCTGTGGAAGCTGTGGAACAGGAGAAGAAATTATTTAACTATGGAAATCCTCTCCCTGTCAGTAATGTTATCAGGTGGCAGTGATTTTTGACAATTAGAAACTTCCTTCTTTTGTCCTGCTGCTCTCACAGCTTCCATGTGATGAAAGTTGGTTAAATGGGAGTTAGAAAAGCTATAGGACAAAATAAGAATGTTTATGGAAAATCTCCCCACTGATGACACCACCATGTTTCTGCAGGACTTAATAAGTTATATACAAAGATTTCAGCCTATGATGGCAACATATCAATACTTCATTGAAGCATACAAAACTGTGTTAAATATTGTTATATAGTCATCTATTACCTACCACAGGAAATTGGCTGTAACATTCTGATTTATCCTATAGTGGCAATTAACTACTTCTAGACTTCAGAGGATTTATAACTGTAATTGGAACTAATTATTTTTGAGAAGTAGCTTTCTAATCTTTGCAGGAACTACCTGCATGTCTGTTAAGAGTAATGGTTACCTTTAGCTAAGCATCAAACCACATAACAAGAGGAGGCATAAACTAACAAGTAATACATTAGAACTCAGACGCTGACAAAACAATCTTCTGTTAGGGGCTACTGTACATGCATGTGAAAAGAAGGTCCTAATAATACTTTCATTAACTCAAGTGGGAAATTGTGATTGCACATATCATTCAAGAAGGTGTTTGTGTACATGAACAACTTAGGCTAAAAGTTTATCAATAGCATTTTTACAGTAACAATCAGAAATAGAGCACTACAGTGAACTTTGGAAAATGCGTGAAGAATAGCAGAATGAAGGTCCAGAATGACAGAATGAAATGATGTAACAAATGAGGTGAGAAAACTTTTAAAAAATAGCAAACTGTTGCACAACCACCACTGAAAAGGGCTTTTGAAAAATTTAGATCAGACTTCAGTATGTTTTGGCTGCAACTGCATACAGGTATCCACTTTCCTGAGAGTAAATCCCATTAACTGCAATGGGACCTACCCCTAAGTAGATATGTATGGGCTTCGGTTTTATTTAATAATTGCACAACTTAAAAGGCATACTTTTCTCATTTAGACATAAATCAGAAGTGTAGCCAAGACAATTATTTAAAAGTACGAATCCCATACTGAAAGAAAAACTAAATTAGTGAAGTATAAAGATTTCTGGTGTAATTTTTAAGTGCGTTGTCATCATTGCAATGATTTTCTGTGGCCAGACAAAAGAAAAATATTATAGGAAATTGAATAATTGGGCATTTCCAAATGGAAGCTCCAGCTATTAGCAATTCACATTAAAGAACCTAAATAAACTATATATGAGCAAGTTTTACTAGTGTTCCTAACCTCTTCTCAGTATTGTCTACATAGTAGTTACTTGTATAAGCATTGAACAAGTATTTCAATATAAATTCTCAAAATTATGTTCCAGTCCAATACACAATCCAGCCCATACAAAGTGCACTATGTAAACATAAATCTATTTATAATTCTATCAGGTGTATATGAACTTTACTAGTTTTTTCTTTTTTTCTGCCCAGATGTGATGCTCACAATAAAAGTGTTATAAAACTGGTGATGATATTCAAACAAACTAACATATGCTCCTCCTTGCTCCAAAGGCAGTAAGCATATGTATAGTATATATATTTAACCCACATAATTTATTTCAGGTAATTTAAAGCAAACTTTTATTCTTAAAGCTTTTTAAAAGAAGCAATTTCAAATGTTCAAATTCTGTAGTTGTGCAAGACAGATCAATGCCTCTGCTGTGGACATACAGTACTTGCTTTAGGGTGCTGCTGCATTTAATATCAAAGGTATATATTGTTAAGAAGAGAAAACACCTCCCTTAGGACAGTGCTCATAGTTTGTTTTCAAAAACACATTTACATGTTTGTGCCTTTTAAAAATATGGTAATACAGTGGGGTCTCGACTTACGAACGGCTCGACATACGAACGTTTCGACTTACGAACCGCTCTCATAGGAATATATGGACTCGACTTACGAACTTAGATTCGAGTTACGAACTCTTTTTTTCCCTTTTTTTAAAAGCTAAGTCATCTTAGGTTAAAAGAAAAAAAGAAAAAAATATCCCCCTCTAGTGGCAGAAGGCGGAATAGCAGCTTCCCATTAGTTTCTATGGACGAAAAGAGCAGATACGGATTAAATGGTTTTCAGTGCATTCCTATGGGAAATGCAGATTCGACTTAAGAAATTTTCGACCTGAGAACCGCCTTCCAATACGGATTAAGTTCGTAAGTTGAGACCTCACTGTATGGTGATCAGATAGATGTCAGTTGTACTGCTTCCCCCAAAGCAGTTTCCTTGAATGCTGCCAACTCCACTATTTCTGGAAAACAGCAGCTGCTGAAATGTGCCACTACAGTTTTTGTTTTAAACAATGAGATCTGAACCTGTCTGGATGTAGGAAATATTTGAAAATGTAACTGTGGAGATCATTGTGCTTTGGTTCATGTAGGAGGGAGCTGTTGGGAGGCAGAGCCAGAGAAACTAGAAGGGAGGGGTGAGTCAGTCTGGGGAGTTTAGTGAGTTAGAGTCAGACAGGAGAGAATGTGTTGTAGGCCTCAGGCTAGTGAAACAACCTGGGGGCACGTGAGGGGCGCGTCACATAACTCTTTATAAAACACGTGAAAAACAATTCCCTTCCAGCCTTGCTCCCCTCCATATCCAAATTACAGTCATGACTGTTTTTGCATAATTTTGTTAAACTCTTTGGTCTGACTACTAGTTATTATCTGAGCTGGCGACCTATACTGCTCATTTAACACTCTATAGAATATTAAATATCTGACTACATGGCAATTTAAGGAGACTCTTTCGTATGGATCATGAAAATGTCTTTCAGAACAATGTATACATCTCTGAGTAGTTAGCAAATAGCTTGTGTGGGAAACCAAACACAATGCCAACTTTGAGGAAATAATCATGTTGACTTCAAATGTTAAATGTTTGGGAAAGTACACACATATATGGCATAGGGGTTTGGTTTAGAACTGATATTTTTAGTCTTTTTTTTAATGTGCAAGTGAATCTACCTACAGAGCTAGCAGAGTACAATTATAATCCCATGTGCTGTGAAACTGCACAAGTATCAGATTCAGTCTGTCTCTTCCTAATCACTTGTCTGGTAACAAGGCAAGCTGTTTGCTACCTCCAATCCAATAAATGTGCTACAGATCTCTGCAATGTTATAGAGGATCACGGGGCTAGCTCTAAGATCACATGTGCCTCAGCATTTCTGTGACAGTGTATAGAACTCGGTGGAACACCAGAATGCTTCATTGACTGGACTAAAAATATTGCTACTGGCTAAAAATAGTGCTACCCAAATGACAAGTTGGATAGCTCATGCCTGTCTTGCTTAGGATAGTGATTAGATGTTCAAACAAATGACACGCCTGATGGGAGATGTCAGTTTCATACAGTTGAAAGAAGCCTAATTATTAGTGCAAGCACTATAATTAAGTAGTTGTAACGAAAAAATAAGTGACCTATGATATTTTGGTTTGTGAGCTAATAAGGTTATTTTCTTTCCAAGTGTCATCCTTCCCAGAATTTAAAAAGTCTTCTGC